TGTAAAGATTTTAAATATTCTTGTACCTCTTTGTAGTCTCTACTCTGTATCATTTGCCTAAATTTATTCTATTATCATACGTGATTATTCCAACATCTTTACAGTAAATTTTAACAAATGCTAAAGTAAATTTTCAATGATGCATTCTTTAATAAATGTTTTAGAAATTCTTGCATTATAAACTTTAGAATCATTTTTCCAGGTTCCAAAAAATTTAGTGTCCTTCAACAGTTTTGTATTTTTCTTTATGCAGGCTTTTTCTAGTTAATTTCCTCTTATTGTGAACAGGTCCTCTATCCCCATTTCCAGTTTTAACTGGTAGTCATTGCTGATTTTTGTATGTATCTTAACTCCAAATACCTTACCAGATTCTCTAACTAGTTTAAATATTTTTTTGTTTCATTTTGTATAGCTTTTCTAGGTGAACAATCACATCACTTACAAATAATTATTTAATCTCTTCCTTTCTAGTTCAAAAATAGTGTAGGATTCATTATTTTGTTTTTCTATTTGCATTAGTCAAGTTTCTCAAACAAAGTCAAATAATAGCGATGACAGCAAGCTTTTCAAACATGTTAATGATAGCAATGATAATCGCCTCATTATTTTTTCTTTTCTTTTTTTTTTTTCTTAAGACAGGGTCTTGCTCTGTCACCCGGGTTGGAGTATAGTGGCATGATCATAGCTCTAATTCCTAAGCTCAAGCAATCCTACCACCTCAACATTCCCTAAGGCAGGTGGGATTTCAGTGCCAACACAACTGCTAACTTTTAAAAAATGTTCAGCAGAGACAAGGTTGCTACACTGCCCAGGCTGGTCTCAAACTTCTGGCCTCAAGCAATCCTCTTGCCTCGGCCTCTCAAAGTGCTGGGATTACAACCCTAAGCTATTTCACCCAGTCACTATTTTCTTAATATAAGGATTGCTTCTGGTTTCTGGTAATACTTATGTTTAATAACTTTCATTCTATTCTTATTTTATTTGGAATTCTTATTTATTCCTTCCCCTTGCAAATGAGATTCAATATTTTTTCTGATAGCCTCAGATCCTCCTGAGATCTCTCTCCCCTTCCAGGGCCATTCTTGTTTCACTTGTTCAATCATTAGGAGGGAAAGGAGTGCTCTGGCTACCATATTCCCACTATACTCAGTAACTTTTTATAATAGGTTGCATACTACTCATTTAATAATTAAAATATGTATCTATATTCTTCTCCCCTAAAGTAAATATTTCTGTAGAACATATTCCTATAAGTCCTATAGAGTCACAAAGTCATAGAGCATAGGCATTTTAATATTGGCAAATAATATCAAACTGTCCTCCAAAAATATCAATTTATTCTTGGAAACAACAGGGTTGACAACGTTGGCTGGGCCTGGTGGCTCACACCTATAATCCCAGCACTCTGGAAGACCAAGGCAGGTGGATCACTTGAAGCCAAGAGTTTAAGACCAGCCTGACCAGGACAGTGAAATCCTGTCTCTACTAAAAATACAAAAAATTATCCAGGTATAGTGACACACAACTATAGTCCCAGCTACTCAGGAGTCTAAGAGGGATGAGAATTGCTTGAAGCCAGGAGGTGGAGGTTGCAGTAAGGTGAAATCGCGCCACTGCACTCCGTCCTGTGTGACACAGCAAGACTGTTTCAAAAAAAAAAAAAAAAAGATTTAAAACAGTGTTGACAATGTTTCTTACTTCCACACCCTCACTAATACTACATGCCATCAAATTCTAAAGTTTCAGGCAGTCTGAGAGGCAAAAAATATAGTACCTTATTTTATGTTACATTTCCCTGATGTCTAGTGATATTTAAGCATCTTATCACAACTGCTTACTAGACACTTGAACTTAATTTTGTGATGGAACTATTCACATCTTCTGACTATTTTGCTATTTGGTTATCTTCCTTCCTTCCCTCCTTCCTTCTCCCTCCCTCCCTCCCTCTCTCTCTTTTTCTATTTGGTTCTGTTTTCTTTCTTTTCTCTCTCTCTCTCTCTTTCTGGTTATCTATTTTCTTTCTTTTTCTCTATTTGGTTATCTGTTTTCTTTCTTCTATTTGATTATCTGTTTCCTTCTCTCTCTCTCTCTCTCTCTCTCTCTCTCTCTCTGAGTGCAGTGGTGAGATCATAGCTAACTGCAGACTTGAACTCCTGGGCTGAAGAGATCCTCCCATGTCAGCCTCCCAAGTAGCTAGGGCTATGGATGTGCACCACCATGCTCAGCTAAATGGTTTTTTTTGGTAGAGGTAGGGTCTTGTTATGTTGCTCAGGTTGGTCTCGAACTCCTGGGCTCAAGTGATCCTTCTACCTCAGCCTCTCAAAGTACTGGAATTACAGGTTTGAGCCACCATGCCTGGCATGGTTGACCATCTTCAATTGATTTATAGGTGATCCTTATAGAGTAGGGATATTAACTTTCTTATATATTCTACCAACATTTCCATTATTTGCCTTGTTAGCTTTTTCACAGTATTTTTTAACCCTAACCTTCATATAACTATTTCCAGAATAAATGAATGCTTATGTTTCTCAAAATACAGAATAAAATTTAATTAGAATATTAACTACCAAAATGAAGAATATTGCATTTCAGAATAAAATGATTATATCAGCACTTATGTGAACAAAATGGCCAAGGAAGAACTCATGTAAACTTCTCTTCAGGGTTATAAGCTGCCTGGAGTACACCTACTTATATTTATATAGCACAAGAATATTTACAACTACCACTCATCTTGTTCTTTAAGGATCTCCTAAAAAAAAAAAAAAAAGTCACATTAACAGATACAGAAAAACTTACTTCTGTTCACAGTATCCCATAAATTCACATTTAAAAAATGCAAATTCATATAAACCAAAGTAATATGTTTCAGTTTTTTTTTGAAACAATCCTAACATTTTAAAATAATGCCTGAAAATCTCAAATTTAAATTTACATGTAAAATGGAATATATTTTTACAAACTATTTATTATAGTCTTGATTTTAATTCTTTGTCAGTCATATATCTTCTCCCAATCTGTAACTTATCTTCTCACTTTCTTTAAGGTACCTATTGAAGACAAATTCTTAATTTTAATACAGTAAAATTATTGATCTTTTATCATTAGTGTTTTAAGTCTTGCTTAAGAAATACTTTCCTACTCTAACATCAGAAACATGTATATTTTCTACTGAAAGACTGAAAGTTTTATTTTTGACATTTAAGTCATGAATCTTTCTGAATGGGATGGGGACAAGAGGGAAGGTAAGAAAAAACAATATATTATATACATGTATTATAACTAACATGTACACATACACGCACATGCACATACACAATAGTTAAGTCCTCAGCTTTATTATGAAACTAATATGTATGGACTATGAAATGCAGCATGGTACTGGTGTTTTAGTAGCACCTTTGCCTACCACCATACTCCAAAACAGACAGAATATATATTATGTTTAGGCTGGGCGATATGGTTAGGCTCTGTGTTCCCACCCAAATCTCATGTGGTAGTTCCCATGTATTGTGGGAGGGAGTCAGTGGGAGACAACTGAATCATGGGAGTGGGTCTTTCCTGTGCTGTTCTCCTGATAGTGAATGAGTCTCATGAGACCTGATGTTTTCAAAATGGGAGTGTTCCTTTCCAATCTCTTTTTGCCTGCTGCCACCCATGTAAGACATAACTTGTTCCTCCTTGCCTTCCACCATGATTGTGAGGCTTCCCAGTCACATGGAACTGTAAGTTCCTTAAACCTCTTTCTTTTGTAAATTGCCCAGTCTCAAGTATATCTTTATTAGCAGCCTGAAAATGATAAAGTGGGCATGATCGCTTTAAATCCCAGCACTGTAGGAGGCCGAGGCAGGTGGATCACTTGAGGTCAGGAGTTCAAGACCAGTCTGGCCAACACAGTGAAACCCCGTCTCTACTAAAAATACAAAAATTAGCTGGACATGGTGGCACATGCCTATAACCCCAGTTACTCAGGTGGCAAAGGTAGGAGGATTGCTTGAGCCTGGGAGGCAGAAGTTGCAGTGAGGTGAAATCATGCCACTGCACTCCAGCCTGGGCAACAGGATGAGACTCCTTCTCAAAAACAACAACAACAACAACAACAACAAAAAACACATTATGTTTACAAAGCTTCACATAAAAAATAAAGACTATACTTCAAAGAATGTAAAATACCCTACAGTAGCCATTTTGAAACTATTTAATATGTTTTATAGAATAAAAAAGTATTTGTGCCACTACCATGTAAATGTTGGTTTTTCCTTTTATTTGCTATTAATATTTACTTAAATCTTTAAATGTTTTCTTCCCAATTTATCCCAAAAGTTATAAAAGAGAACAACAACCCATGCTAGTTTTGAAACAGCCAAAGCAACTGGCAAAGACTCTTCATGGCTTAAAAACATTAGTCAGTCATAAACTTGTTTGAATATAAAAAAGCTACATTCAATAATATATAAAAATACTTAATGGCAACACTAGCTAATATTTTTTTTTGACATTGAGGATAGAAATATGGGAATATTCTTGACACAACTTACTTCATCTCTCCTAAAATTCTCTTTATGTTTCCTTCCTACTATCCTTGAATGAGGGCTTACTTTTTTTTTTTTAACGGCACAATTTGAAGAGCAGTGACATGTTCTGAATGCCATTACACAGTCTCAGATCACAAGAATTAAGAACCTCAAAGGAGAACTGCAGCCAGTTATTAGCTACTAGAAGACCACCACCTAACTCTTTCTCTCCCTTATAATTCCAAGGCAGAGCAGAACAAAACAGTATCAGGGGAAATGAATATGGTAAAGACAAAATTATCATATGAATATTGATTATGTTGCTCAGTAGCCATGATAAACCTTATTTTGAAATAGAGCCAAAGTAAAGACAGTCTTATAAATATCTTTAACAATAAAATTAAATCAATATTAACAGAGCTGTAATTCATTTTATTCCTAGTAACTCTTGGCTGTTTTATCACTTAGAAACAAATAACTTACCTGTGCTCGTTTTTCCATATCTTGGCAAGTGCCTAGTTGCTCTTCCATTGCAACTCTGATTTGCCTCGCTTCATATTCTAATTGCCTTCTGGTCATATCTGTTTGTAAGGAAAACTAAAACCACAAATAATATAAAAATATTAATATTTTATATTTATGTTCATCAGTAAAAGCAAAAAAGTATATAAGTACCAATAAAGAAAATGAATAAGCAAGATGTCAGTCATGGTACATGAGAAAATTATTTTTTACTCCAAGGAGTGTTTAAATTTGATTATAGGTGTCAGACTCAATCTACATCCCTGATGTGATGTGGAATTTAAACACTTATTGTGGGAAAGTCACAAGTGGCTTTATTAAGACTGGCCTATTTCACTTAAAATATGTAATTGGTCCAGTTAGAGTTAGGCTACCTTCAGTTCCCTTAGGACTCTTCTCCACTGAAGAGACAGTACTCTTAATTATTAAATACTAGTATATTAATGTGGACAACATAGAGATATCAAGAAACAAGTCCGTCGTTCTTAAGCTTATACTTCAACTTAAGGTAAGGATTACTACATACATACAGACTAAATAGAGATAACTTTTCCATTAATCAAATGAAGAATATGGGATAAGAAAAAGCCTGTATGTAACAAAGAAAATCATAAATAGAGTGGACAAAGTTAACACAGACTTTGGTAAAGTAAAGAAAAGTTGAAACAAATAAAAAGAGGTACTTCCTCAGAATGAGTGATGACTCATTTACAAATTTATTAACCCTCTAATTAAAATTCCAAAGACTGTGATAACTACCAAGCATGCAATAGGATTTTTAAAAGGAAAAGGTAAAGAAACTTATAAACCCATGCCCAAGAGGTAATAAAAGCTAAAAAAAATGATTAAATAAAATGATAGGTAACAGACTTACAATGGGCCATGAAGGGAATAAGAAAACGCTACGGATTTTCTGTATGCCCATAGAAAACTGTGTATGACATATATCTGACTCAGAACAGCATTCTGGTCCAAGAACTCCAAATTATGTTGTCAGTTTAGCAAGTTAGATTGTTCTCACCCCTTCTACTTTTGCAACATACAGATAACATTCATATGCAGAATGTATTCCCTTAGGCATACCCAAATTATGGGCTGCAACAGAGATGAAATAGTATGCATGTTATTTCTTATTCCTATTGAGCCAGTTCTAAGTCCACTCATTAGTCCTCCACTTCCCTAACCCATTCTGCAAAAAAAACCCAAAAAACAAAAAACCACGGAACATGACACAGTGTGTTGCAATAATGTGGTTTAGATCTGATGTTTTCAGTAATGTTTAATATTTTGATAAGTAGATATTTCCACATGAAAGTGTTCATTAACTTGGCTTCCCAATATAAATGGAAAATCTGTCAAATTAAAAAAGTTACAAAATACAAGCAGAGTTTAAATTTGCTCATGTTGTCAATGGTTCCTAATAATGTCTTATAAATCATATTAAATAAACATGATAATTTAATAAATTAGTAGACAAAAATTAACTTGACAACTGATCATTGTTTCAGGTAATAACTAAATACTCTTGAGTTGTCTTATACATCTAAGCCTTTTCCTGAACCTGACTTCATGCAGACAGTTGGATTCTAGATTTTGTATATTCTCTAATTTCCAAAGTTAATGGTAAGCAAAACCACACTTTGGCTTTTTTCTTTATAAAAGTAATAGTCCCAACAAATCCTCCAAAATTCGTAATCCTCATATGCTAACAATTCTCCAATAACTGTTCTCTCACTATCTGTGCTCCTTAATTCCCAGGAGTACTGGTAAGTATTAATATGTTAAGGGCACTATCAAAAAAAGGGATCCTTTCTCTCTCTCTCAAAACCCTGAATTTTTCTAGGAGAGTGAGCATTTAAATTCCCAGTTCCATCTCCTGTCAGCCAATGTCCATTCAGGAAACCTGGCTAGCTAAATGTTTTCAAAAAGGTTTTCTCTCTTTCAACTTTTGCCTTTTTGTCTATTGCGGGCTCTCAAAGTAGTATTAGAAAATGAAAAATCTAAGCTAAGAGAGTAAGTTATATTTTAATTAGCGTATTTTCCTTTAAAAAATTACATGAAGTATTTATGGATAATAGTTAAAATACATAGTCTTGAGATTATATTTTTTCTTTTCTTTTTGTCAAAAAGATAGAGTAGGAAGTCAAATTGCCTCTATTTGCAGACGACATGATTGTATATTTAGAAGATCCCATCACCTCAGCCCAAAATCTCCTTAAGCTGATGAGCAATTTCAGCATAGTCTCAGGATGCAAAATCAATGTGCAAAAATCACAAGCATTCCTATACACCAGTAACAGTCTAATAGCCAAATCATGAGTGAACTCCCATTCACAACTGCTACAAAGAGAATAAAATACCTAGGAATACAACTAACAAAGGATGTAAAGGACCTCTTCAAGGAGAACTACAAACCACTGCTCAAGGAAATAAGAGAGGACACAAACAGATGGAAAAACATTCCATGCTCATGGTTAGGAAGAATCAATATTGTGAAAATGGCCATACTGCCCAAAGTAATTTATAGATTCACCGCTATCCCCATCAGGCTAATATTGACCTTCACAGAACTGGGAAAAACGACCTTAAACTTCATATGGAACCAAAAGAGAGCCTGCATAGCCAAGACAATCCTAAGCAAAAAGAACAAAGCTGGAGGCATCATGCTACTGGACTTCAAACTATACTACAAGGCTACAGTAATCAAAACAGCATGGTACTGATACCAAAACAGAGATATAGACCAATGGAACAGAACAGAGACTTCGGAGGCCACACATCTACAACCATATGATCTTTGACAAAGCTGACAAAACAAGCAATGGGGAAAGGATTCCCTGTTTAATAAGTGGTGGTGGGAAAGCTGGCTAGCCATGTGCAGAAAGCAGAAACTGGACCCCTTCCTGACACCTTACACTAAGGTAAGGACTTAAACGTAAGACCTAATACCTTAAAGACTCTAGAAGAAAACCTAGGCAAAACCATTCAGGATATAAGCACAAGCAAGCACTTCATGACTAAAACACCAAAAGCATTGGCAACAAAAGCCAAAATAGATCTAATTAAACTCCAGAGCTTCTGTACAGCGAAAGAAACAATCATTAGTGAACCGACAACCAACAGAACGGGTAAAAAGTTTGCAATCTACCCATATGACTAATATCCAGAATCTACAAAGGGCTAATATCCAGAATCTACAAAGAACTAAAACAGATTTACAAGAAAAAAACAAAAACAAACAACCCATTCAAAAGTAGGTGAAGGCTATGAACAGACATTTTTCAAAAGAACACATATATAAAGAAACATGAAAAGATGCTCATCATCACTGATCATCAGAGAAATGCAAATCAAAATCACATTGAGATAGCATATCATGACAGTTAGAATGGCAATCATCAAAAAATCTGGAGACAACAGATGCTGGAGAGGATGTGGAGAAATAGGAACACTTTTATACTGTTGGTGGGAGTGTAAATTAGTTCAACCATTGTGGAAGACAGTGTGGCGATTCCTCAAGGATCTATAAATAGAAATTCCATTTGACCCAGCAATCTCATTACTGGGTATATACCTAAAGGGTTATACATCGTTCTATTATAAAGACACTTGCACACATATGTTCATCGTGGCACTGTTTACAATAGCAAAGACCTGGAACCAACCCAAATGCCCATCAATGACAGAATGGACAAGGTAAATGTGGCACATATACACCATGGAATACTATGCTGCCATAAAAAACAATGAGTTTGTGTCCTTTGTAGGGACATGGATAAATCTGGAAACCATCATTCTCAGAAAACTGACACAAGAACAGAAAATCAAACACTGCATGTTCTCACTCATAGGTGGGTGGTGAACAATGAGAACACATGGACCCAGAGAGGGTAGCATCACACACTGGGGTCTTTTGGTGGGGGCTAGGGGAGGGACAGCGGGGGGTGGGGAGGGATAACATGGGGAGAAATGTCAGATATAGGTGATGGGGGAATGGGGGCAGCAAACCACTATGCCATGTATGTACCTATGCAACAATAGTGCATGATCTGCCCATGTATCCCAGAACCTAAAGTACAATTAAAAACAAAAATAAGAGTACTTTGTGAATTTTCATGCCATTCTTGGACAGAGGCCATGCTAATCTTCTCTGCATTGTTCCAGTTTTAGGATACGTGCTACTGAAGCAGCCTCTATAAATGTATTTGAGAAACAATCTTACATGTGCCATCCCATGAATAAAATCACTAACATGGAGAGAGAGAGGCTGACAGAATTAGAACTTTTTTGACAGAACACTACAGACCTATAAACTGGAGCAGCCTGGAGGTGGTGAATATCAGTTCCTCAAGTCTGCAATATAAAATGGCCTCCAATAAAACTACACTGCCAAAAATAGGAAACAAACAGGATGGAAAGAGTAAAAAAGATGAAGAGGCAGAGCCTAAATAATCTATGGTGGAAAAAGTACTTGAGTGACATGTAGTGAATGCGAAAGTAGAGTAAGTGGAAGGGATTCATATATGCTGACACCACTTGGGAACCTAAAGAAAATTGAGATTGTTCAGGGTTAATTGAAACATTTTTTAATTCTAAAAAAACTAGTCAAGAAAAAGATGGTACAAAAATAAAATCTTTATCTGACAGTGAATCTTGCGACAGCAAATCAAAGAAGCAAAGGTATGCAGCTGACAAACCATAAGGCTTTGCCAGAAGTCTTTCCTGAAAGAGTAAATGGTGCCACAGACAGCAGTGGAGAATAGATGTTTCTGATGAAATAAAAGGATTCCAATTGGGCAGTTGGTGCTGCCGAAAGAGGCAAATACAAATAGTCCTCAAATTTTAACTGCTTTTTATAAAGAGAAACTAACTTGGCATTCCTGTCCAGAAGATGAAGCACAGTAATTGTTCACATTGTTTTATACAGGTCTTGATTTTTTATTTATTAGTGTGAAGAAATAACTACATTTTAATAGAAATCAAGTTTGGTATGTTCGTTTTGAAAGTAGTATTGGGAGAGTTGCTGGGGTTTTCTTTTGCAGTAATAGCACTGGTTACTTTGAACAAATAAATAATAGCTTTCTGTAGTTGCTTCCTTCATCAGAAAACAAAATTTGATACCATGGTATATTATGTCCACTGCATGACAGAACAGCTTTTCTAAATACATTAGGGGAAATTTCCATAGTCATTACAGTGTTTCTGAAATGCCATCATTCTGAGCAATCCAAGAAATAAATCACTTCAGGTTAAATTGGAAAATTTCCTGAAGTCATACATTTCAAGTTAAATAAATGATTTTAATTAAATGGACAATTTAAATTGGATAATTTAAAAACAGCTATATCAAAATTCATATCTATAAATGCAATGGCTTGCAAAATTTCGAAAATGAAAAATTTTACCATTGCCAATAACATCTAGATGAGGAGACTAGACAAATCCTGGTGTATTTTAATTAGCTAAACAAGACAGTTAAACGGACACTTAAAGATTCCTCTGGTGAGTCATTTCTTTTTTTTTTTTTCTTTTTTCCTTTTTTTGCTGAGATGGAGCCTCGCTCTGTTGCCCAGGCTGGAGTGGAGTGGCGTGATCTTCAATCACTGCAACCTCAGCCTCCCACATTCAAGAGATTCTCTTGCCTCAACCTCCTGACTAGCTGAAACTATAGGCATGTACCACCACACCTGGCTAATTTTTGTATTTACTTTAATAGAGTCAGAGTTTCACCATGTTGACCAGATTGGTCTTGAACTCCTGGCCTCAAGTGATCCACCTTCCTTAGCCTCCCAAAGTGGTGGGTTTACAGGAGTGAGCCTCCACATTTGGCCATGGTGAGTCATTTCTTAACAAAAAGTTGAAATCTCTGTGTTACATTGACTAAAAGGTCATGATTCATGGAATGTCTAATACTTGACTCATGGAAACCTAACCAGGTGGTTAAAGATGGTGGCAGTTTAGGATCTGCTGTCATAAATGGGTGAATAAGCTTCTATAATCTAAACTATTGACCTACATGTTTTTTTTTTTTTTACTCCAACACATTCATTATATGTAGGTTTGATCTTTTCAGTATATGCTTTAGTAGTTCAGCAGTAGCCAAGAAAAAGAACCTTTTGTAGTAAATCAGAATGTTATTCAACTATATACTCTTAATTTATTGTGAATACCGGTGAACAGTGGTCAATAGTTTTATATCCCTTACAATTTTTTTTAAAAACATAGTTATATTTGCAAAACAAACCAACTTTAGTGTTTGCAAAAATACTGAGATCCATGTTATAACTATTGGCATTTATATCTGGAATATTTTCAGAGATATTTTTATTGCAAAAACCATCTGGCACAATTCCTGTAACATGGTACAAAAAATAGGCAGACGGTAAATATTTCTAGAGTATGTTTGGCAATTCAATACACAGAATTAAAAAGATAGTTGCCTAGTTGAACCCTGAGGTCCTCTAGAATTCAAACTTTACAGATTTTCTAAATAAGAGCTTTAAATAAATATTTGAGCACAATAAATTCTCCCATCTTTAAAAACAAAAATTCAATAATTATTACATATTCAGGCTTAAAAAATTGGGTAAAACCTATTACAATTTACAAATAACTGTAAGTTCAGTTATCCTGAATTTTAACGGATTACCTAGGTACTTTAAAATATCAAGTTACTCGGGTTTAAAATAAGTTGTACTGCCATGTTACTTACATTTTCAGTTAAAGGAAGACTATCTATTCTTTTAGTGAGATTCTGAAGTTGAGCATAATACCAGTCTTTTTCCTTTTCTTCTTTATCAAGATCAGCAAGAAGCAATGACCTATTTTTTTTAAAAAAGGTAAGTTTAAACAATGCTAATAAAGACTGCATAAGAGCAATACTTATACCAGTTGTTACTGCAAACTTCTCTACTTAAAATGTATCAATAATGAATTACTCAAAATACTTAAACTGATTTCAATTTTTAAAGATAGGACTTAGAATATTTACAGTAATCAAAATTTTGAGTATTAAAAAGAACATTTTTCTAAATAAACTGGTAATCATCTTTAAAAGAACAGTTACACTTCACTAAAGGCTTTCTTCATATGTATAGTCTTAAGGAGATAATGATAGGTAAAAGGTACAGATAAACAAACTCAAAATTAGTATAAGAATAAAAAGTATAGTAAAGGAATTAAGAAAAGCAGCAATGATGGCAGAAAACAAACCTGGAATACAGGAAGCTACTACCTTGCATACTGATGTGGCTTTCAGCTTCTCAGCAACCAAAATAATCTACTGTCATTTTGAAATAAGAGGAAGTTATTACAAGGGAGGGAAACTTCTTAGTTTGAATTTGAACACCAAATGATGGTGTTTTCCATAGTAATCTGTATTAAGATATTGTATACCTGAGCATTATAAACACAAATGCACAGTAAGTGTGTTATGGGGATAAAACTCAAGAGGTACAAAAAGTATATAATCTATCTCTTTCACATGGCTGTTTTCCAGAACTATCACTATTACATTGTCTTATGTGTATGTCTAGAGATATTCTATAAAAATGCAAGGACATTAACCAGTAATCATTCAGGAGCAGGTTGTTCAGTTTCCATGTAGTTGCACAGTTTTGAGTGAGATTTTGTCTCAAAAAAAAAAAAAAAAGAAATGTTTTGTTAATCCCACAGAAGTAAAATTTCTCACAGAAGTAATTTAATCTCACAGAAGTAATTTCTCACAGAAAATACTAGAGGCTAGGAAGCACAGAGGGAAAGAAAAGATAAAGAGAGATTTGTTAAAGAATATAAAATTACAGCTAGATAGGAGGAATAAAGTTCTAGTGTTCTATACTACTACAGGATGACCACAGTTGATAGTGAATGTTTCCAACACAAAGAAATGATAAATGCCTGAGATGACAGATACACTAATTACCCTAATCCAGGCGTCCCCAAACTACGGCCCGCATGCGGCCCCTTGAGGCCATTTATCCAGCCCCCTGCCACACTTCAGGAAGGGGCACCTCTTTCATTGGTGGTCAGTGAGAGAAGCACAGTATGTGGCGGCCCTCCAACGGTCTGAGGGACAGTGAACCGGCCCCCTGTGTAAAAAGTTTGGGGACGCCTGCCCTAATCTGATCACCATAAATTATACGCATAGAAACATCACTATGTATTCCATGAAATGTACAATTATTACTTATAAATTAAAAAAAAAAAAGAAATATTTCATTTGTGGCCACTTGTAGTGGGCCTTCCATAATGAAAAGAGTCATCTTTTATTGAATCTAGTAGTTACTGAATATACTTCAATAGATAACCAGAAATTCAATAAAAATCAGTTACTACTCTTTTGTGTGTGTAATGAGACAGAGTCCTGGCCAGGCGCAGTGGCTGAGACCTGTAATCCCAGCACTTTGGAAGGCTGAGGCAAGGGATCACTTGAGGTCAGGAGTTTGAGACTAGCCTGACCAACATGGTGAAACCCTGTCTCTACTGAAAACACAAGATTAGCTGGGCATAGTGGCACATGTCTGCAATTCCTGTTACTTGAGAGGCTGAGGCAGGAGAATCACTTGAACCTGAGAGGCAGAGGTTGCAAGCGAGCTGAGACTGCGCCATTGTACTCCAGCCTGAGCAACAAAAACGAAACTCCATCTCAAAAAAAAGAGTTTTACTATGTTGCCCAGGCTAGTCCTGAACTCCTAGCCTCAAGCAATCCTACCGCCTCAACCTCCAGAGTAGCTGGGGTTACAGGCGTGAGCCAAAGTATCTGGCAAGTTACACATTTTAACTAGATATAAATATTATAATTATGCGTATTAATGTGTAGAGTAGTCAAAATACTGAAGTGACAACCATCCTGGCCAACATAGAGAAACCCAGACTCTACCAAAAATACAAAAATTAGCTGGGCATGGTGGTGGGCGTCTGTAGTCCCAGCTATTCGGGTGGCTAAGGCATGAGAATCACTTGAAACCAGGAGGTAGAGGTTGCGGGAGCGGAGATCGTGCCACCACACTCCAGCCTGGTAGACAGAGTGAGACCCTGTCTCAAAATAACCCCCCCCAAAACAAACAGAAAAATAAAACCAAACAAAAAGTATTTAAGTGACAAAATAGGTCTTTAGAATCCTGCAAAATAACAATAATAAACTGGAGTGTACAAGGCAATATTTACTATACGAAGAAAAGTTACCTCTCTTTCTCAAGTTCTTCTAAATATCCAGTACTTTCTCTGCTTCCGTTTACAAACCCTCTTCTTGGAAATGAACCCATAGGAACGGGACTGCACTCTCCTGAACGGCTTGATACAGATCCTTCCCGGCTTCCATAAGAACGAAGGGACATTTTTGACCGTAGTTTTACTCCAGGGAAATTACTGCTATCTAAGTTAAGCTCTAAATAAAACAGAGACAAGTTTTTATACAACAATTGCTTTAAGCAATCTAAAATATTCTTAATGTTATTATACTATTTTAAAGTGAAATCTTAGGTTCATATTTTAGCCACAAATATACATGACTGAATAAAAAATTATTTAGGACTTTCCCTGCAAAGTCCACTTGGGTCAGTATAAAAATAAGGAGTATGTTAAAGGAAAATTAGATAAAATGTACTTCTTTGGACTCCCTCTGAACAGTATTTTGGAATCCAAAAGTAATTTTTCTGTCTGGCTTCAATTATTATCAAGCACTTCCTCTGTTCTGACATTGGAATTTTCAAGCAACAAAATCAGAAAGACATCCTTTTAAAACTGCTAAAAATGACTTACAATCAACTTATATATGTGAAAAGGTAAAGTATTTCTGTCCCACGAAGAAGACAATACTTCTTCCAATGAGACAGTGGGCTCAAGTCTATGACATATAGAATACTAAATACTACTTAGTGGCAGGCAGAATAGCAATGCGCTTTAAAAAGAACTGAAAATTATTCAAGGAAGGAATTTAAAATAGTTAATTCAAAGCCAGTTAAATGTTTAACTGAAGAAATGACACACAAATACATTTTTTATATATTTGTACTTTAAAAATTACATACTGATGGTAAGGCAGATACACCACGAAAACTGATACCAAGACCCAAATCAAGAGAAGCTGTACTTGGCTCTACACACCTAAAGATGACAATTTAAGCTTAAAAAATTATTTCAAAACACCTTTTTAAAATCTACCTTTAAGACGCTCTAATAAATCAATCTGTCCAGAAGAAGTCATAGTTTCATCTTCAATACTTCCTTGTAGTTGTTTAAGTACTTCCTGTTGAAAAGAACACAATAGATTAATATGAAATTCTAAATAACTTCAAGACATGATTCTGTATTTAAGTATGCTGAGAAAAAAATTCAGATCACTCTGAAAACATCCACCTTACCTATATTACCTATTATTCATTATTAATAAATAAATTATGGCCAAATAATAAAAATAACAGTGGTATTCAGTGATAATGATGATTATGGGGAGTCTCCATGCAAAGCATTATAAACACACTTAAGACACATTATTTCTAACTTAAAAAAACCCAACAATGCAAATTATTCTCATTTTTCAGATAAACCAAGTGAGACCCAGAGACTTGCTCAAGTTACAAAAGCTACTTATGTGTTTAGAATCCATGTCTCTTCAACATGCGCCAACATGACCATGAAAAACACCAAATTAACATATAATCTATTTAACAACTTAAACATTCCAGCTTTTATATACCATATTTAAGTATATTCTGCTAGTATACTAATTTACAATTAGCAGATATTCAAATGATGTGTGTTCACTGTTTCCTGATTTTTGATGCTTTTCTTCTTTCCCATGTAAACCCTTTCTGGATAAATTTTTCTCAAAGAATGCTGGACACTCATTTTCTACCAATTTTTCTGCCATTACATTTGTGAACTTTGGCTCTTATTACATGCTACTTAATAATAATTTATCTTATTTTCCATTTACTGAGGCATTCCACTCTAGCTCCTAGCATGGTTCTTTGGCCAAACCAGGTTTCCCCAATGCAAGACAAAGTATTTGAACATTTGCAATTTTTTAACTAAATGGAGTGTTCCCCTATATGAAAAGTAATCTGTAAATGCATTAAAAGCAAAACCTGCCAAAAACTGAGTTAATGGAGCAAAGACAGTTTCACTGATTTATCTTGACAGTGACGTTGTAAGCATTCATGGCGGCTCATGTCTGTAACTCCAATGCTTTGGGAGGCAAAGGTCACTTGAGTGCAGGAGTTCGAGAGCAGCCTGGGCAACAAAGCAAGACTCTGTCCCTACAAAATTTAAAAAACAACCAGGCATGGTAGGATGTGCTTGTAGTCCCAGCTACTTGGGAGGCTAAGGCAGGAGGATCACTTGAGTCCAGAAGTGAGCCACAGTCTCACTACTGTACTCCAGCCTGGGTGACAGAGTGAGACTCCAGATAAAAAACAAAAACAAGGAAATCCCCCCAAAACCCCAGAATTCCTATGTTAACAATAAACAGCCTTAGGATCTGACATTCAAATAATAGACAATATTAGAGTTTGAAAGGCTTAGGTAAGTAGATGTGGGGACATGAAGGTGACTATTATATTCAAATATTCCAGAGTGTTTTACATTTTTGGAACAGAAAACAAATTTGCACAGGGATAACTTCCTTCAGTGAATGTCAAGTACACCCACCAAAATGTCTACTATAAACTTTGGGACACCATCTCTTCCATTTAGGAACTTTCACTCAAGGCTACCTGTGACTTTTTCAAGATTCCAATTATCTTTCCATCCACTGCTACTGTTTCAGTCCTTTAATAATCCTTTTAATTGTATCCCTGCTTCTTATGCGTCCAGTCTCACAATTCAACAACTGCCCTTGAGCAGTTAATTTCCAATTAACATCTCGAATTCTAACCTCACTTGCAAACTTCAAACTCACTTTTTCAATCAAATGATGGATGCTTTACATCTGTATAATGGGCACCTTACATCTAAATGTCCAGAACTGAACTGGCATTTTATGCCTATAAAACGTGTTCTTTGTATTCTCTCAGTTAAATGGCATTAGCCTTCTTTCTCCTCCAGTGCAAATCCTTAGCACCTCCTCCTTCACATTTCCAGTTAGTTATGGATTTCCGGTGATTCTACCTCTATTATCTCCCTTCATATTCTTCCTGTCCCTATCCTAGTATCAACCCTACTTAAACTATTAAAATAATTTCCTAAACAGCTCAACCTTGCACAGAGATGTCAGAGCAACCTTTTGAAAGGGTTTTGTCTGCATTTCCTAATTTAATAAAATAGTAAATATACTCCGCTTGTAATAAAGTTCGATTTTAAAAAGTTTCTGTACACATTGTTAGAAATCTATTGATAGCTATAAGCATAAAGGTAAATAAGATTTAAGGTAAATTATTTTTTAAAAGATTCTCAAAGCAGTCACCTTGGAAAGCTACTAACTTACTCCAATAATGTGTTCGTTAAATTATTTTTTTAAGTGCTTTGAGTTACGAACCTCATCAACAAAATCTGTATACATTTACAGTCACAATTAAGATGACATCATCCAATATGACCTACATTACTCACTAGTTTGCTGTGAATAGTTTATGGCTATTCCACAATAAAGATCAACCTCAAGCAATTTTTTTTCTTGTTTTACTGAGGCACAACATACGCATGTAAAATACACTAATCCTAAATATCCAGTGAATTTTCACACACATATATCACTATCCAGGTGAAGATATGGAACATTTCTAGCACCCCAGAGGGTTCTCTCAAGCTTCTTTTACCAATCTTCGTTTCCTAGAGGTAACCACTATTCTGGCTTCTTTATCAGAAGAGTTTGGCATGCTCTTGAGCTTCATATAAATGGAATCATACAGTACCTAAGTCTTTACAAGTCTTTTGTGTATTATGGTTTTTGTTCAACATAGTATCTGTGAAATTTGCCTATGCTATTGCATTATCAGTTCATTATTTTTAAATGTTGTGTAGTATATAGTAGTACACTGTATAAATTCAGCCCAATTTATCTATCCTTTCTCCTCTTAATGGAGCATTTGGGTTTGTTACCAGTCTGGAGACTATTATTTAGAATGCCACTATGAACATTCTTGCACCTTTAGGTGGACACATGCTCCACATTTGGTATGATCAGTCTTAACATCAGTCATCTGAGTAGGAGTGAAATAGTCTTTGCATTTCCCTAATGACAAATGATGCTGAATCCCTTTTCATGGACTAATCTGTCATTTATCTTTCTTTTTGAATTGTCTTTTCAAGTCCCTGGGTCACATTTTAAAAACTGGATTATCTTTTTGTTACTGGTTTGTAGAAATTATGCATATATTCTGAAGGAATTATTTATATGTTCTGAACTGAGTCTTTGGTTGGATATATGTGTAAATATTTTCTCCTCTATCGCTTACTTTTTCATTTTCCTAACGAAGTCTTCTGAAAAGCATAGGTTTATAATTTTGATAAAGTTTACCTTACACATTTTTATGTTTAGTCCTTTATGTATCCTAAGAAATTTTGCCCACCCAAGGCCAAAGATAAGAATATCCTATGATTTCTTCTAGAAGCACATTCGAGTCTTTCGATGAACAACAGTTCTTAGTTGTTCTTTAATGAAGTCCATCGAATTTTTTTCCATTTATGGTGCTTTGGCATTCTGTTTAAGAAATCTTTGCCTACTCCCAGGAGAAGAAGCTATTACCTATGATTTCTTGCAGAAGCCACTGTTTTGTATTCTTTTTGCTGTTTCCATTTTTTTCTCTGTATTTCAGTTTGAATATTTTCTACTAATCTTTTTTCAAGTTCACTAATTCTGTCTTTTCACTAGTTCACTAATTCTGTGTTCAACCTGCTGTCAAGCCCATCCAATGTTAATTTCAAATACATTTTTCAGTTCTATAGTATCTATTTTATTTCTTTTAATTGTAGACTCCAACTCTCTGTCAAAATTTTCTATCTATTCATACATTTTTCTTTTTTTTCCCAAGACATGTATAATACTCACGTTAAAATCCTTGACTACTAACTGCAACATCTGGATGATCTGAGTTTGCTCCTATTATCTATTTATTCTCTAGATTATCAGTAATTTTCCAATTTCTTTGCATTTCTTATAACTTTTGACTGTATGCCAATTGTATATATGAAAACAAAAGAGACTTCAGATGATTGGCAGTATTTTTCCCTGGAGAGTTTGCCTTTGCCATTGTTGGGGTCTGATCTCCACAATCCAATCAACAACTAAAAATGGACTGGGACCTAGTTGAAATTTTAAGTTCGCAACTGATTTGTTTTTCCCAGTTCCTTGAGTGTGTCCCTCCATATTCAGACAGAAAATATGAAAAGTCTCCATCTCCTCAGCAGTTAATTTCTTACCCTATAGAGTATCAAAATCTGACATTTGTCTTGAATGGAAAACCAGTCATATTTATATAGCAGGTAGGTCTCCCCCTAACAGGTCTTTTCTAAGCATTGTAGGAATATGGGATATTTCACTTTGCCTTTGCAGGTCAGCCTTATTCTCTGGCAGTACTTATCTCTCTAGCCCTAAATGCTCTGTCTTAGGAGGCTGTGAACTCAGGTCTTTAAACTCCTGCTCCACAAAATTCAAAATGTCTTGAGGAGACCTGTGGTATGAAAGTAACATGTCTCACCCTCTAGCAGGACTTAGCCTGCTAACATTCTGCCTTTCTAGTCTATCCAAGGCCTCACGCACTACAAGACTTAATCAATATCTCATGGCAAAATCGAGACATGCATTTAGAGCCCCTCTTAATGCTAATATCTCTACATCTACCCTCACGGTTTGTTAAAGCCACCAACAATTTCATTTTCTTTTTCTTTCACACCTAGTCCCACAGAAAGACCTCAAGAGTTTGTTTCTCCCAGTGGAGTCCTTCTGCTTGTGCCAATGATCAATCTCAATCTGTACCCAAATCTGTACCCCACAGAAGAAAATTACCAGTCATCTCAGCTTATCTAGAATGGGTTCTTTCCTCTTAGGAATTTTAGTTTATACAGAGTTTGATGGTTCCATAGTTCTTCACTGTCCTTAAAAGCATGATTTTTGTATTTTATCCAGTGTTTTTTAGTTGTTGAGTGGGACAGATTGCCCAGGGGGCTGCATACTGCATACAACCTAGAAAACGTCCCTGATTTTGAAGAGTTTTTAAAAGAAAATGCAACACAACTGCAAAGTAGTTCCAAAGATAATGTTTTAAAAAGTTCTTTGAATAATGGCAGCTTTTTAAATACATACATCAT